CTGCACGGTATAGCTCATGGCTTCACTGAGTTACGCAAGCCCCTTCGCCACGACAAGGCAGTGATCCATGAAGGGGCAACATTCCAACTGCGAGTAGATAAATGGGGACTCCCATTTAGATGGGAGGAACTGGCGGTGCTGCGCGCGGGAGCAAAATACCAGTGCTGGCTGAACTCCGAATGCAACCGGCATGAAGGACGATCGATGCAAGTGGCGAGAAAGATCTACGGAGGAGGAAAAAGCCTGGATGACCCCCCTAGCGGCCCCTGCTGGTCACATAGCATAATAGATATAGCACTAATTGTAAGATTTCTCACTGTTAGGTTTATATATATATACTTTGTGAGCTGCCCAGAGTTCCCCATTGGGGGGAGATGGGCGGAGAATAAATCGATTGTATAAATATAAATAAATAAATAAATGGTAAACCTATTTCCACTGGATATATTCTGCAGAAGAATTGGCCACAAGTTACAACTACCTTTCAAATTAGGCAATTTCTTTTTAAGCTCATGGGATTTTACAATAAAAATATTTTCAATGTTTGAAGAATGGAGTATACCAACAATGTTTAAAATCAAAGATGTCTCTACAATTTTATATAAAACTCTTACTTTGAAGAAAAAGGTGTTTAAAAGTATGGGAATTGGATTTAGAATATGAATTCAGTAGGTAAGTTTGGAGCTTCTTATATAAAAATAAAATCTATTTTAGCAAGTAATAAATGGCTATAAAAATAATTAATGGCCCCTTAAAATTGATTATATTAATTAAACTTTGTCTAGATGGTGTTGAAAGTAATCAGCTTGGTGCCTACTACCATCCCTGGTGACAATATCTGTGTAATTAATTCATCTTGACTGAAAATTTTTGACAAAAGGGGAAAAATACAACAAGCTATACTGGTTAATTATAATGTTGTTTTATTGTCCAGCCCCCAACTCTTATTTAAAAAAACAACTATTCATGCTTTGTTGTTAATTGCCATATTTGCCACAGCAAAACATTGGAAAACTAAAATACATCTCTTTTTTTTTTAGGATCCACGGAATCTGAAGTTTGGCAAACAGCATTGGCTGCAAAAAAGTAATACAACAGCATCCAATGAAAGAATCCTCTAGCTAAGAGTTGTTTCCCTCATATTTGGTCTCCATTCTTTAGCCATATTAACAAATATTCACAACAGATCCCTCCCTCTATATAATCTTCTCACTGGACAGAAATACTGAATCTCCTTAAGATTAAAAATATGCTTACATTTACACTCAGATTATTTGAGGAGCGGGTTGAAATTGTGTATAGCTTGCTTTTTGTGGTGTTTTCTGTTCTTTATTATGCTGTAAAACAGGCATAGCTCAAGGGGGTAGTACTTAATAAAGCACTAATTTATATGTGAAATGGAAATCCTTTACAGTGCATTCCTGTTCTTGACTTTCTAAATACTCTGAGAGGAGACTCCTCTTCTTGGTAGTAGGCAAAATTGCTCCCTAAAGGGTAGGTAGGGGACAACTTCCTATTCTCCAGACCACACACAAAATAAATTGTCTGTGAAATCTGTGAAAACCTGAAGAGAATTAACATGGGTCCCAGTCAACCAGCTACATAAAGGAAAAAAATTACAGTTGCTGTTATTAATACATAAGCTTTAGATATGAGTGAAATGCCCTGTATTATTTAAGACCAGGAATACCCAGTAAGGACCAATTTCTGTGCCAAGAGAGAATCTTTGAATTGTTGGTGAGTTAAAAGCTCCTTTTAAAAACCTTATTTTTAAAACACATACTTATTCAGAATTAAAGCACTTTTCCCAGTGGATCTGCTTAATACATCTCTGCGACTCACCAGCTAAAAGGCAAAATATAAATGCTATCCAAATATTTCAAATACCTGCAAGTATGTGTTAGTTTTACAGTACCTGCTGGACCTGCTGCACCTCCATAACCTTGATCCCCTTGAGGGCCTTTCAGTCCTTTGGATCCATGCAAACCAAGTTCACCAGGAATCCCTTTTGCACCTTTTGCACCTATGTTTTGAAGATGTAATACAAAAATGAGATATAATATATGAGATATATTATAATGACATATATATAAAAGTGATATATATATAATTAAAAATATTAATTACAGTAAGAAAAACTAATACAAACTAAACTTAAAGAAAGGAAAGCAAAAAGAGAAAGTAAAAAGTGCAAAGAAAGGAAAAGAAATATATAAAGAAGTGACTTCCAATCTCATCACAACTATAAAGAAATTTGGTAACTCTTCACCCCATATAAGGTTACAAATAGATATCTCTTCTTCCCATAACCCATCTCTTATCTATAAGCAAATCCATAAAACACCAACTTTCCAGTCCTGGTTTCAGCAAAAAGTCTGTAAAGGGTTGCCAGAACTTTATAAAAACATGTGTTATTTTAACCTTGATCAAATAAACCAACTTTATATTCCTTCCTGTCCTACTTCAGGTTTCAGTCATACACACACAGTTTCTTGGGAGATTATTAGTTTCACTTCTAGACTGAAGAGTTTACAATAAGCCAAGGAATATAAATGAAGCAAAGGAATATAAACAAAGCAGTGGCTTGCCTGCAAAGTTTGCTTTGAAACAGAAGCACACAGGAGAATCATCCAGAGTCAGCCCAAGGTTTCAGAGAGTTGGGTCAAGGTTGCCAGCCAGTCCAAAGGTCAGAAGTCCAAGAATCCATTCACAAATGTCACACACAAGCCAGAGGTCAGACTGTGAGACAGTCAAACATTGTTTCCAGCAAAAAGCCCAACTCAGAGCTGCTCTTTAAATAAGGCTACAACCAGCTGTCAGTAATTAGAATGTTTGCTAATTAGTGAGGAGCCTAACCGACCTTTGCTGCTCTGCTCTCTTCTCTACTCACCTGGTACAGGACCAGGAAGCCTTACATCATCCTTACTTGACTTCTTCAGCAGCTCAGGTGGTGCCTGTGATTGATCAGCTCCGTGTGATGCCTGGCTTTGTACTTCCTTCCTGAGGCTCACATTTCATAGGCTCAGCAGGAGCAGCTTCTTCAGGGCCAGACTCAGAACCTGAGTCCAGAGGCTGGGCTATAACCGTCCTTTTACTTCTGACAATCTTAAATTCATTCAGATATTATTGTAGGATTTGATTTCTTTTCAATTCTTCTTTGTCCCAATGCAAAAGCTTCTTCAAGGCTTTAGCAACCCACTTTGGTAAATCCAATACAAATACATTATCCAGGTCACTCTCTTGGTTTATCATTTCTATTTCCCCTTTAATTTTTAAAACTTTAGCCAGCTTCTTTTGTATATCCAGTAAAGAGTCTTTATCTGGGTCATTCTCTTGGCCTGTCACTTGTATTTCCACTTTAGCTGCCTTCTCTGTCTTATAATCCACACTTTTTATTAATCCAATATTTCTGATTCTACTATTTCTGCATCAAACAAGATTTGTTTCACATCAGTCATTCCTTCATTAATATCTTTTGGACACAGTCTATCCATAGAAGCAGACATAACATAGAAACTGACATTGTTGATATTGTGGCTACTTATTTCTGGCCTCATTCTTCAAAAATCTCCTTTAGTATTTCAAATGTTAATAGTGTTTTGTGTCATTTTGTAAATCTCAGTACTGACCAAAACTAAAGGCAAGTTTACACTTTTTTTTTCATTCTGTCTGGAATCTTTAGTCCCCGCTAGTGTCCAATTTCTGAAATCATAAAGTCTTAAATCTCTGCTATGACTTACAGTAGACAAAATAATTTTGGTTCCCATAAAAAGCTGTTTATTTTATATAGTTAGTTCCAACATCTTACAGTAAAAGTTTCAATGTTCCAGATATGTCTGGACCCTTAATTCATTTATAATTTTCTTAGATCAAAATCTTATTTAGTTCTTTGCCATTTATTACCAATTCTTTAAGTTCTTAAAATTATAGTTAATTTTTCTTTTGTTCAGAAATGAAGACAGATTTACTAGACGGTTTTTCAAACTTGTTGTTCCGAAGATCTCTAACAGCTTTAAGATGGTTAAATAGGTAATTTCCAAAAGTGATTAGAAAGTGAGATTAAAGAACTTAGTGTCCTTTAAAAGGCTCCGCTACAGTTAAGAGTATGATGACTGATCCCTTCGTCTCCCAGTGCTCAAGCCTGTGGGAACTTCTGTCTTGCAGTCTCCTCACGAGGAGCAGCCGTCTGGAGCACATGTGGTCAATCTCCCATCCTCTTCTTGTCTGGAGAAGTTCAGAAGAACCAGTCTACTGACCGGTTTTTGCAATAGTTGTCGTCTCTGCTCTCTCAGAGATGTGTTTAGTTTGCCACGCCTCCCCAGAAGTCAAAAGTGAGGTACAATTTTAAAAAATAGCATAGCGTAAATAGCAGTAAAGACAAATACGCACATGCAAAAGGAACAATATGACAGGCCTATCCATTAAAGTTGTTTTTTAGCTCATCAAACTGTCTGTCTCTTAGGGTATTTATTGACAAAACAAGAATAGCTGAATACCAGTGACTGTGAGGTCCTGGCCCTATGGTAGCTTTACTATGAATATGCTGCAGTTAACATGGTGGATGGGGAGGGGATAAGCAGATGTGGAGGAATGCTGTAATGCTATGATTGGACAAGATGAGTATGGGTATACTCAACCTTTAAATTCACAATTTGTTGAATGGGACTTTAAACTGCTTTTCAGGAAAAATTATCTTAGGCAAACAAAAATATTAAATAATGTTTTTTAATTATAATAGTAAAATTTTTCAGGAAAAATTATCTTAGGCAAACAAAAATATTAAATAATGTTTTTTAATTATAATAGTAAAATTTTTCAGGAAAAATTATCTTAGGCAAACAAAAATATTAAATAATGTTTTTTAATTATAATAGTAAAATTTTTCAGGAAAAATTATCTTAGGCAAACAAAAATATTAAATAATGTTTTATATATATATATATATATATAAAAAAATAAAATTAAGAATTTTAATTATAATAGTAAAATCTAGTACAAACTAAACTTAAAGAAGGAGAATAGAATAGAATGGAAAGAAAGGATAAAAAGTGCAAGGGAAAAAAAAGAAAGAAGAAAAAAGTAAAAATAGAATAAAGATAAAAGAAATCTATGAAGAAGTGACTTCCAACCTTCATCGCAAGTATGAAGAAATTTAGTGACTCTTCACCCCCTTTACAGACAATTCTCTATTCATCCCATATCCTATCACTTATCTATAGTCAAATCTATAAAGTATCATTTTTTCAGTCCTGGGTCAGCAAAAAGTCCATAAAGGGTTGCCATAAGTAACAACATATCTTGTTTTAATCTTGATCAAATAAACCAATTTTACATTCCTTTTTTTTACTTCTAACAGTCTTAATCTTTAGTTCAATCAAATATTGTTGTGGAATTTGATTTATCTTCATTTCTCCTTTGTCCCATCACACAGAGTTCTTCAAGACTTTAGCAAGCTTCTTTTGTAAATCCAGTAGGAAAGAATTATCCAAATCACTTTCTTGGTTTGTCATACGTATTTACCTTTTAAATTTTAAAGCCTCAGCCAATTTCTTTTGTAGATCCAGTAAAACATCCTTTTCCAAGTCATTCTCTTGGCCTGTCAGTTGTAAATCCACTTTCGATACCATCTCTAACTTATCCAATAAAATTTGTTCTACATCTGTCATTTCTTCAATAACATCTTTTGGACATAGTCTATCCACAGACGCAAACATCATTATTGACATTGTTGATATTGTGAGTACTAATTCTGACTCCATTCTTCAAAAGTCTCCCTCAGTATTTTCATTGTTGTAACATTTTGCATTTTATAGGCTTGCATTTTCTCCCTCTACATAAAATCTTTAGTCTCCTCTAGTGTCTAGTTTTTAAATCATGAAATTACTTATCTCTGTTAAGTCTTCCAAAAACCAAAACAGAACTATTTTCCATGAGAAGCTGTTTGTTCTTTATAATTAATTCCAAAATCTTATTGTAAAAGTTTCAGTATTCCAAATTTATCTCAACCCTCAGTCTGTTTATAACTTTCTAAGACCAAAATCTTATATAGAGCTTTTACTGTTTATTTCAGATTCTTTAAGTTCTTAAGCTTATAATTATAATTTTCTTTTGTTCAGAGTTGAAGATAAACTCACCCAATGATGACTTTTCAAACTTGTTGTTTCGAAGGTCTCTAACAGCTTTAAAATTTAAAAGTTTTGGCAATTTCCAAAAGTGATTAGAAAGTGAGGGTTGTGAACTTAGTGTCTGTTCAAAGGCTCTGTGATGGTTGCAAGCAAGATGGCTAATCCCATCATCTTCCAGTACTTAAACTGATGGAAAACTGCTGTCCTGTGGTCTGCTCATGAGGAGCAGCCATCCAGAACACATGTAGGTGATCTCCTGTCCTCTCGTTATCCAGAGAGGTTCCAAAGAACTGGTCTACTCACCAGTTCTTTGGTCTTTGCTGTGGTCTTCGGCTCCGCTTTTGCAGAGCTATCTTCAGATTGCCATACCTCCCTTGGAAGTCCCAATAATAACATTTCTTATATGTGTTTTGCTATAATTAATAGTCATTTTGATTTAGAAACAGGATGACATATTTTAAAGGGTTTTAAAATGAAAAATATTTTTCTTTATAAAAATGACTACTTTGAAATCAACACAAAAGATTAGTTTTCAATTATGTTGAAATATTATGGAAATAAAGAATTTGACATGTTAAATAAGTTAAAAACAAGTTTGTCTACTTGAAACAAAAACAATCTGAAGAACTATTGTATTACTGATTAACAAGAAAGCATCAACAATGATTACAATTATTTTACTACCTGAGAATAAACTTCACTGAACTATAGGGATTTAATTCTGAGTAAAGAGGGGGAAAAGCATTTTTGTTCAATCAAGGCTTCTGAGAACTTTAATATGAATTTCTTACTATAAATGGTTATATTGTTTTCATATTTATTTAATCTGTAGAACATTTTTCAACTGAAAATTCTGAGCAGTTCATACAAACACAAAATTACAAAATTGACAGAGGAATATGGAAGTTATTTTCGTTTAATTAAGTAATTTCAGACTTGATTTCCACTTACAGGTGGTCCTTGGTTAATGACCACTCATTTAGCAATTGTTTGAACTTGTGACAGCACTGAACAAGAGATACTTAACGACTGGTCCTTGCAGTTTGGCTGTCACAGTGTCCCCAGTCATGTGATCACTATCCAGGTCCTCAGCAGTCATGTGGTCACCATTTGTAACCTTCTTTGCTGGCTTCTGACAAGCAAAGTCAGTGGGGAAGCCGGCAGGAAGTTGCAAATGGCAATCATGTGAGGTCCTCGCTTAATGACCCACAGTAACTGCCATTGCTAAGCAGCATGGTTCTGTGACATTGCACTATATGACCATGCCGCTTAGTGACAGTAATTCTGGTCCCAACTGCCATCCTTAGCTGATGACTACATGTAAAATGTTTTGGAATAATAATGACAGTTAAGAAAAATGGGATCCAATTATTTTTGCTATGTAAATTATGGTACTATTTGATTTTTAAAAAGCGTACCTGGTTGTCCAGGCAGTCCTTGATACCCTGGAGCTCCTTTTGGGGCTATAACACAGTCGATTCCTAAAGACAAAAATATGGAGAACAAAAATGGTCATGGTTCTTTAAAGCCTAACAAATGAATTCTGGCATAAGTTTTGTTAGCTTAGAGCCCACATTATCAGTCGAGTAGGCAAAACTGTTACTTTTTAAAATGTAATTACTTTAGTGTTGTTTCTGAATTTTTAATAATTGTGCATAATAAGTTTTGTTAAACTAGCTTTTTATTTGTTAAATTAAAATTTATAACAAGAGTTTTGAAATAATATTCTTATCCCACAGGTTTCTTGTCTTGTGAGACAAAGAAACACTCACTTAAAAAGAAGTATCTAATTTACTTTACCTGAGTAAATTGATACAGTTCTATTATCTCTAAGAAATTGGTCCTCTCTTTGCCCACATTCTACAAAACAAAAGAAGCAAACAAGAATGTCTGATTTATTCAAGCCATTATCAGGCACCAAAACTATAAAATTCAATCAATTTGTCTACCTGTGAATCAATCTATAAGAATTCAATGGATCCATTATCTATCTGATACAATTAATTAATAATCAGGAGAAAATTCCAAAGTATTCAAAACATAAGATATTGATGAATGAAGCAATGTTACATAAAGAGACCACTGAAAATTATGTGGCCAACACCTTTACAGCAAAACAGAAGGGATAGTTTAATTTGTTATTCTAACAATCCTAATTCCCAAACCATTTCATTAAATACTCCTGTTGCTAAAATTAATTTCAGTTCACTGAGATGGAAATTCCCTATCAGCCTTTCCATTTTTTACTTGCTTTAAAGATCAAAAGATCATCCTTGGAAAGGCCTACAAACTAGGCAGAACAAATGAAAGAAAGATCTAAATAATATGTGCTGTTTTGAACTGGAAAACCAGTAATTTTAGTGGTTACTGACTGGGATAATTATTTGAATGGAGGGAATTTCTCTATATTTTACACAGTCTAATATAATGTGTGATAAAGAATTTTAACTTTAGTCAAAAGCTTATACACTGATATTAAAATGCTTGTATATCTTGTTTCCTAAATTCATCCGGCATGGGTTGAGTCAAGATTCTATCACTAAGTATGACCAAGAAGCTGAAAGACATTTGGCAACACTTAGAACCCAATCCTAGGAACAAAAGATACTTCCGTTTTTTTCCTGAGACATTATTGTTGACCTCTAAGACTAGTGTCTTCGGCCATCAAAGCTAGCTCTTTCCAAGGGCAAGTATCTTCAATATTACTAATGCTTATCTGCCCCTTCTTCTATCCAACCAGGACCCTGACATACAGTATCTTTCCAGATTGCCTGATTTTATACCACCATTTATCTTATCCATCCTACCTACAACTGAAGATTAGTAAAAATTTTGGTGATTGCCACTGTTATCTGTGTTATTGCTTATTAATTTTTAATGTAATTTTGTTGTATTTTATGTCGACTTTTTAATTTACATTAATTATAGGTTTATGCATTTTTACTGTAGTGTTCTTTGGCCTAAAGGCCATAATAAAGGTTTTGGTTTGATTACAAAGCCTCAAGAAGGACCACTAGGAACTTAACCCAAACTTTCCATGTATTGTTAATATTTAAAGCACCCATTAGGTTAGTTTAAATAATTTAGTTTCTCTAATGAGAAAAGGACATGAAAAGTGTTCTTCTCTACCAGTCTGTCACCACCAGGCACTGGAAATAGTGAAGCCACTTCAAGCTCAGGATATTCCAACTTTTTAAAGGATTTCTCTAATAGTCAAACTTGAATATTCAGCTATAATGCCATTATTCACCACAAACTGTAGAGAACATGTTTTTTTCAGTATGCGATACAATATTTTGCTACTGGTTTTAGTATTCTATTACTCTGTTATATAAAATGTATAGTTTTCTTTTGATTTTGTTTCAACTGTGTTTGGTTTGGGGAATCAGGAAACCAACACATTTGATGGAACATGGTTTTGTTGGCACACCATATAACAATCACAAAGAGTCATGAGAATCTGTGTTTTGAATTCACTGATACTACAGTGGATCTGGCAAGTATTTTTTTTATAATTTATACTCTGCCAATAGATTCTACTGGGTGCAGATATAAATATGCTTTAAAGTGGATCTGTGGAATCCAAGCTAAAAATGATATGAAAAGTGTGATGGTACATTTTCATTTATTAGATCTAACTTTGCACCTTTTTTATCATTTTGTGACTTTCATGTCCCATGCCTTTTGTAACTAAGTCCCCTCCTCCTAGCAGCTGTTTTGCGATCACACTCATCTCAGGTTTCCAGATTTCCAAATGTGCTGAAACCAGTTGGGGATTGCAAGAAAGTTTATAAATACCTGTCTGAACAGGAGCCCCTGGGGGGCCAGGAGGGCCTTGAAAGCCAGGATTTCCATGGGTGCCAGGGTCACCTGCAGGACCTTGATATCCCTTTGGACCAGGCAAACCCATACCAGGCAGGCCAATTTCACCGGGAAAACCTTTCGGGCCTGGCTGGCCTGGGTCACCAGGATCCCCTTGTTCTCCTCTTATGCCATCACCCTGCAAGGACATTTAAAATACCATAAGCTTCTACCAGCTAAACTGTTTTAGCCACTCAATCACTTTCTTAACTTTCTCAGTTACCTTTTTACTACAACACCCAGTTCCTATAAACAGGTAACTCCTGTACCCAGCAATTACTTACAGAGTATATAGGGAGCAACTCCTAATCTTCAGTTGAATGGCTTTAATGAGAAAATGTGGAGAGCAAAGGAAAAGCCCCAAGTACCAGGAATTGGTAAGACTAATGAATGAATAATTTACAGTCAATTAGCTTAGAAAGAGGTTGTAAGATTATTGTTTGCAGAATGTTTATTGCAAGTGATTTGTTCTACAAAATCTACCTGTGTAGTGCAAATAACCTGCAACATGTATTCAACTATGCGGAACCCATAAATTGTCAAAAGGTGTACACACATTCACACTGTATGATTCTATCAATCATTGCTAGAGTAATTTTTAAAATTTGCATGTTACAAATAAGGCAGGCTGTTCCAACCAAATTTTTAGAATCAAATTCTGTTCCAATTGAAGCTTCCTAGTTGTCCTCAAGGATTTCAGACTATTCCCATCCAGGAATGTCACAGCTACTGAAGTGCCTAAAAACTGCGAAAACAGTGAAAACTATTAGGAAATAGTTAACCAGACTGCAGCTCAGGATGAATACTAAATCCCCAATGTCCTGCCAGGATTCAGTTTCAGTTTCAGTTTCCTGGCACTATCCTGTCCATTAATGAGTCCAGGCAGCAACTCAGCAGCTTCAGGGCTTGACCTGATTTCAGCAATTAGGAGAAGGTGAGTGGAATGTAATCGACGTAGTTAATGACATCAGCATACTGAGGGATGAGACTGAACACCTTACTTACTCGAAGCCCAGGAAGTCCTGGTAAACCATCTTTGCCATTCCTGCCAGGTAAACCATCTTCTCCTTCACATCCAGGAATTCCTGGAGTTCCTGGGTCTCCTTTGGCCCCTTGAAAACATGGTTTTATGGAGATTTAGCAAAAGAAGTCAATATAAAAATAAAGTGATTTAATTTGTATTTTAAAAAGATGTCCGTACCTTTTGTGGTAACATATTGGGAATCCCCTTTTACCCCTTTTGGTCCAAGAGGTCCAGGTACACCAGGGAATCCCTATTGATGGATATTAGGAAAGTCTAATTAATCACTCCAAAAGTATACCGCAAAAGTGTAAGAGGAAGATTATGTTCCCTTTTGTAAGAATACAGTGGTACCTCGGGATACGAACGCCTCTACTAGCGAACATTTCGGGTTACGACCAACTCGGGATACGTCCAGAGTCACGGAACGGATTAAGTTCGTATCCCGAGGTACCACTGTACATGGCAAAATGCACTGGAGAGAAGTTTCAGAACAAAAGGAAAAAAGAGGCCTTATAATTTCTCCCATTCAATGCAGGCTTGTAAGAAGAACACATGTGAAGATGCGTGCAGCCCTCTGTTGCAGGCAGAGGGTTTCAGGAAAGTACTAAATTTGTGCAAAGTTTATAGGAGGCTGAACTGTACACTTAAAAGTATGAAGGAAATGAGATGTAATTTTCACAAGAGGATGACATACAACCTAGTTTCACAACTGGGTCTCATGTTTCTAATTGTTCCTCATGAAAGATGCTGAAAGGTGAGGTCTAGATTCCTTTCCCTACAAAACCAACTGTAATCACAACCGTACCAGTAAGATTGTTGTGCATATGATATAAACTGAAAGCTGTCTATTATGGAAATAATAATGTAGGCAAATCATCAAGATAAAAATGGTGAAAATAAATACATAGTAAATCCAATATAAATACATTCGGTTATTTTGCAATATTTTAAAATCAACGTTTTATATAGAACTTCTGTTTACAAAAGCGATTGGACAAAAGCCAAATCATAGCCCAATTTTGTACAAATCCAAAGAATTCATGAAACTTCCACATGGAAAACTTTGCTTTCAATGAGAAAATCTACATGTGGAACCCCATCCCTGCTAAGAATGTAAACAATTTTATGGAAACATATATTATGTAAACCCCACTGAGTTGTCCACTCAGAAGATTCTGATGTTGAGGAACCTGCTCTGGATGCTCCGGAAAAACGTTAGTCTCAATACTGTAGCTGGTAAACAATCAAGCACCTGAGGCTGACTACGCTACCCACTTCGTTCTGGCTTTGGAAGCCTTTGCAGCAAGTCCTCCTGTTTCTGTAAACTGTGCTAGAGTATGTGTGTGGCTGCACAGACGCCCACTCTCCCTGCCACCGCCTGTGATTTGCCTGCAATGCAGAGTAAATTGCTTAAACCTCAGTTCATGCATCTGCTCGGCCTGGAACGAGACACTGAGGACCTTTTTCAGGAAAAGCAGTAAATATATACGAAGAACTTTACTTTTGAAAATATTTGTGGGAAAGGATACATAATAAATTGGGAAATATTATATAATAATTTGTTCTCAAAAATATACAATATTCCATCACAAAAATATCATACCTTTGGACCAGGAAAGCCAGGAAGTCCATGGGGGCCTCGATCTCCTAATTCTCCTTTTTTCCCAGTATCTCCCATTGGACCTTGAAACCCTGGAGGGCCAGGTGGCCCCGCAGGACCCCTTCTTCCTTCGATATGTTCAACACATTTGCAATCTCCTGTATCACCTACAAATATTACATTACATTACATTACATTATATTAATATATATATTATAAATATATTTAGTTATATAATATAATATTATATACATGTTACATAAATATATTCTCTCACACACACACACACAATAAAAATAAAGCAGGGCTACCATATCTAAGTTGCAACAATTGATATGACCACTAGATGGAGGTAAAGAGATACTGAAAAATCCACAGCCCAGATTTGGTATCTAAATATTATGACAAACCTCAGAGAAGAGCCATATACGGATGCCTGGGGGTCACATTCAGCCTGCTGACTGAAATTCCCCCTCTATGCCCCAAGGAGATAGTAGTCCTATTCACAGCAATCTCATAACACCGTACATCTTTACCTAAAAGTAAGTCATTGGGGTTGACTTTTAACCACATGTAGTATTGAGACATCTACTTTTACACACTTGGGATTTTATAAACACACATCTGGAGTCTTATGGCAACTTGAGCCTGTCTGTGCATATGGGAGCAGAGACTAGAATGGGAAAAATGCTGTTTCTTCAACCAAGAGGGTTTGCCTCCCAAATTGCTTGCTGGATTTGCTTGGCTGTTGAGGTTTTCTTATGCATATTCATATGCAGCGTGTAGAGTCTGGCCATTTATTGGTACATGATTCACAGCTTGCTTAAATTCATCCACATATATTGTTGCAGCCTCCCACCAGTAAATGAGATGATTTACTACATTTTGAAAGCACCTCACAAGTGCTTCACAGCTTGTGCAAGCACAGTGTTCTGACATTCGTTTTAACAGCTTCTATAGGAACCTGAAAAGAGATGCTGCTTTAACGAATTGTCTTAGTGAAGTTAATCTGACTGTTAAAGTAGTTGCACTCATTTCTGAATCATCCACAGCCCTATATTTAGCATTATTATTTATTTACAGCAATTACTTATATAAATGGTTACTAGGGAGCTTATAATCAATACAATTACATATGTCATAAATTATAATTTATGAAACAGCCAATTGCAGCCTAACAATAATAAACTATAATGGATCTAGCTGCACAAGCTTTTTCCTGTGTTCCAGTCATCTTCCAATGATTCTCACTGATTCTCACTCAACTCAACTCAACAGCTTCAATCAGTGGGAGAAAGCAAACTAGCCAGAAAATTTCCAGCTCTCATCAGATTTCATTGGTCTCCATAGAAAATGAGTAATTTCAATATGCCCCCCCCGCCCCCCATATTGGAGATCATTACAAGCTTAAACCTCAACAGGCTGATTTCATCATGATAAGGAGACAGATAAAATCCTCCCGCGTGCCTGGAAAATATCTAAATTACAGAAAAATTGTCCCTTACAAAGGCAGTGCGGATTTGAGATGGGATTATATGTTCTGTGACTGTAAGATAGATCCTTTACAGATCTTTCCATCCAAGTGAGGTGGTCAGGCAAAGCAAAATACCCCATTTTGCTGCTTTCAATTGGTAGCATTAAGGCCGGGTGCTTTTTCATGTCAAGGCAGTCTATCTCGGAGCAACTGGAACTGAGATGGCTACTTGGCTGGATCAGCACCATTTTGCACAAATAAGAAACTAACCCATCCATCTCAACAAGAAAGAAAAGAATAAAAATGACTTAAAAGGATGATAGATGAGCGTGAGGTTAAAAAAGAAAAGCACTTGCAAGACTAGCTTTCTGGCAAGACAAATCCTGAAAGTAGAGAACTAAAGAGGAAGGGAAATATTTTAGACTATATCCCATTATATAGTACAAATGAAGTATATTGTTTGCACGAATATCTGTGGTGACAACCTATTAACACACTTCTTCTGTATTCTGCCTTACCTTTCAGTCCTTTTTGTCCTCGTGGACCCGGGTAGCCTTGGTTGCCTGCAGGACCTGGGACCCCTGGATATCCCTTCAGCCCAACCAAATATCCTGCAGAATTGGAAGACTAGAGTGACTGAGGGAAACTGAAACGGTCATTCTGTGTTAGCATCAAGCGGTTAGCTCGTCTGCACTACGGCTGGAGAAAAACAGGAAAGTCTGAAATCAAGATGCACGAGATAAGCGTTGATATTAGTTATTGGGACGTTTACATCTTTCCTTCTTCTGATCAGCTCAAACTTAAAATGTTTATACGTGGAATATGACAGTACTGTGACTTGTTTTTCATTTTTTTCAGCCATGAGAAATACCAGGCAGCATCAGAGTTATTTTTTATACTGTTTGCTTCATATACTCAAACAGGTGGAGACTGAGTCCTCATAACATGCTGCTAAACCATAATGTTGTTTATTTGGTTTGGCTTAGTATGTTACGTGAACTCACTACTGTGATTTGTAAACCGTGGTTGATAGCTTACATAGTTGTGTGAAAATAGCCTATCATAGTTTATTCAGTAAATCCTCATTAAATAAACCATGCTCTAGTATAATAGGGAAGAAACTGTTTATGACTTGCATTTACATGGCATACTAAGCCAGGATGTAGTTTGGTTAATCTTGTCATCCAGCCTGGACTCTGAGTCAGATTGTGGTTAAAGAGGAACAGGTGAACTACAAGCATTGTAACCATTGTTTGTTGTAACTTGGCTTATCTTAATTTATGGTATGGCATATCATCAGGACCCAAACGATGGCTAGCTTACAATTAAGCAGCCTTTCATCTTCTAAGAAAACAGGGAGGATGGGGTGCAGAAGAGGGTGCAAATGAAGCTGCATCTCTGGTGCTCTATAGTTATTTCACCATCCCACAAGAATGGGGGAAATTAGTTTTGAGGGGGAAAAAAGGCATGAGGGTAAAAAATTCTTTCTCTTACTTAACCTGCAGTGACTGACTCCAATCAGAGAAATAAAAACTAGGCAGTATCCAAAATACTGATCAGAGAGGAGAGGACTGTGGCTGGTTGGGTCAACTGGTCTGCAGCTGCTGGAAAAATGTCTTAATTATCATTAGCATTTCATGCAAATAGGGGGTATGACCATGCTACCTGTTAGCACATCCAATCTACCAAAATGGTATATAGAGCCCACCTTCCCTTAAGCTTTCAGAGGAAGCGAGATACAGATGTTACCTTATGTAATGCCCCATGTATGAAGTTTTACATTAGTTCCAACTCCCCTGTTGGTAAGTGTGTATGTGGGGGATTTCTTTATTTATACACAGTGTGTATCCTGTGTAGCATTTTCAGTCACACTGAATAGCAGGAGGCACCATGTGACCAGTTCCATCTTTATTGGGACCCCTGAGACGTAAGTGACCATATCTTATTCTGTGGGCTTGAAACCTTCTACCAGAAATTGAACTCATGGCCCATTGCACTTTAGGTGACTATATACAGGGCATTAGCCTCAGGAGCTACCTGGATCCTGGTGCTCAGTAGTGTTCCAGGGATACATGGAATCTATCAGAATGGTATACAGTACGTAGTCAAATAAAACCTCATACATGGGGACATGACATAATGTAATCTCTCTCTCTCTCTCTCTCTCTCTCTCCCTCCCTCTCA